GACTGATAACATTGTACTTCTGACACCCCGAACATTCCATCACTACAGACCGGGGCCAACCTCCGTGTTCATCATATACAATATATTCTGCACATTCCTTGTACATATAAACATTCTAAAGTCTCATATAAACTATAATATGTTAATATTTCAAAAACATTCAAACTTTTTAATGCTGCAGCCGTCATTGATATAATTCCCAGCTGATCCCACCACGGGGGTTCTTGTTCAGGCTTTGAGGGTGACAATGCTGTGTCCCTGTCCCAGATGAGCTCCAGTGTTGTTACCCCGACTATTCCTTTCTATTCTGTCTTTATTATTTTCTATTTTATTCTTTTCAAAATTTGAATTTCGGAAGACAGCTATATTCTATTCTATTTCTTTTCTATTCTATTCTTTCGGAAGAAAGCTCTATTCTATGCTTTTCGAATTGCGGAAGACAGCTCTATTCCATTCTTTTATTTTCTATTCTATTCTTTTTGAATTGCGGAAGACAGTTCTATTATATTCTATTAAAATTTTGGAAGATGGCTGTCTTCGCAATTCGAAAAGAATAAAATAGAGAATAAAAGAATGTAATAGAAAAGAATAGGACAGACATAAAAATTATAATTAAAATAGAAGAATAGCTGTCTTCCGAAATTTGAATAGAATAGAGTAAAATGGAATAAAGCAGTCCTTCCAAAATTCAAAAGTAACTGAACAGAACAAAATAGAAAACAATAGAATAGAAAATAAAAGCATAGAATAAAGCTATCTTCCAAAATGCAAACTGTAATTAAAGCAGAAGAGAAGAAAACAGAATAGACTAGAAAAAAAAAGAAAATAGAACCGTCTTCCGTAATTTATATAAAAAAAAAATAAAATAGTAAATAAAAGAATGGATTGGAAAAGAATAGGACAGAAAAAAAAATTATACATAAAGTGGAAAAAATAGCTAAAATGTGAATAGAATAGAGTGAAATGGAATAAAGCAGCCCTTCCGAAATTCAAAAGTAACTGAACAGAATAAAATAGAAAATAGAATAGAAAATAAAAGCATAGAATAGAATAAAACTATTTGTTTTCTATTTTATTCTGTTCAGTTACTTTCGAATTTTGGAAGGGCTGCTTTATTCCATTTTACTCTATTCTATTCACATTTCAGCTATTTTTCTAGTTTAAGTATAATTTTTTTTTCTGTCCTATTCTTTTCTAATCCATTCTTTTATTTACTATTTTTTTTTTTTTCGAATTGCAGAAGACGGTTCTATTTTATTCTAGTCTATTCTGTTTTCTCTTCTCTTCTATTCTGCTTTAATTGCAATTTGGAAGATAGCTTTCTTTTATTTTCTATTTTATTCTTTTATTTTCTTGTCGGTTTTCTTCTTTTCTATTCTGCTTTAACTGTAATTTGCAAGATAGCTTTATTCTATTTATTTTCTATTCTATCTTCCGAAATGCGAATTTTGAAGAGAGTAGAATTAAAGCAGAATAGAAAAGCAGAAAACCGACAAGAAAATAAAAGAATAAAATAGAAAATAAAATAGAAAATAAAATAGAAAATAAAATAGAAAATAAAAGAATAAAATAGAATAAAGCTATCTTCCAAATTGCAATTAAAGCAGAATAGAAGAGAAAACAGAATAGACTAGAATAAAATAGAACCGTCTTCCGCAATTCGAAAAAAAAATAAAATAGTAAATAAAACAATGGAATAGAAAAGAATAGGACAGGCAAAAAAAATTATAATTCAAATAGAAGAATAGCTGAAATTTGAATAGAATAGAGTAAAATGGAATAAAGCAGTCTATATAGAAAATAAAAGAAAATAGAAAACAATAGAATAGAAAATAAAACTAGAATAGAATACAGCTGTCTTCCGAAATGCAAATTTTTAAGAGAATAGAATTAAAGCAGAAGAGAAGAAAAACAGAATGGACTAGAAAATAAAAGAATAGAATAAAGCTGTCTTCCGAAATGCGAATTTTGAAAAGAATAGAGTTAAGGCAGAATAGAAAAGAGTAAAACGGAATAGAATGGTACAGAATAGAATATAGCCATCTTTCAAAATTCAAATTGTCAAAAGAACTAAATAGAATAAAACAGACTAGAATAAATAAAAGAATAGAATAGATTAGAACAGGATTGAATAAAATAGAAATCTAGCCACCTTCAGAAATGTAAAGTTCGAATAGAATTGTGAGCTCTAACGGGCCGGGCCCTCTGTCTCCTCTGTCTCCCTTCATTTCTGTAAAGTGCTGCGCAAACGGTTGGCGCGATATAAATCCTGTATAATAATAATAACTGAACCAGCACTTTTTTACAATGAATTCGGATTGATCCAATATTTTCGATTCGAATACTTCAAATCGATTGTAAAAATTTAAATTCGGTCAAAAATTCTATGGCTGAACTGGATGGCCTTTTGTCTTTTTTCAGCCAGACGAACTATGTAACGGTGTAAAAACAAATAACTGAAAGTAAAGCAAACTATTTTTTGTTTCTGCACCTATCTAGAAGGCAGTGGCGTTCGGTGACGAGGCTGGAGGGTCCAGACCTCGTAAAGTCGTCCATACTGCACTCTGTACATGAGAACCGATCCTGGTTATTGGATAGGACACAGGAAGAGGCACCTAAGAATCCTGAGCTGTGATTGGTCGCTGTAAGGCACTGTGCGCCAAAGTGGCATTGCGCTCCCCCCCCCCACCCCCTACCCAGGGGCGGACTGACAACTCATAGGGCCCCTGGGCAATAGGAGATCATGGGGCCCCTGTGTCCTTCCCAAACTCAAAAAAGCCTATGAAAAAGGTACCAGGGGCATCTCATGGGGCCCCTACTGACCCCGGGCCCTCGGGCAGTACCCGAGTTTCCAAATGGCCAGTCCGCCCCTGCCCCCACCCATGCCCTTCTAGCTACCTCTGCAGGTTTTTCTCTTTTTTGTGCCCCCATCTGCTGACCCCTTGGCCTGCCTCTGAGCTTTCTCCTGGGGGAAAGGAAGAGCAGCCGCCTTGCAGCCTTCACAGGGAGCCTGCTGAATATCTGGAATTCTCTGCCACCGGTACAAGTGAATGCAGAAGTCTCCTCCAGCTGGACAACACACTACCCAGATCCAGCGTCCTCCATTCTTCACTGGCACCCCTCCCATCAGACAACAAGGGCAGGAGGGTGACACCATTATTCGGAGCTCACAGCTTCCTGCCTCCAGCGGCCATGCCCGATTCTACATCATCGCTCCGGGAACATGCAGGCTTTGCCTTCGGATAGTTTGCTTTCCCTGGTTCCTCCCCACTTCCCCGTCTAACATGCTAATTCTTTTTTTTTTTTGTTTACCTTTCTCATTATAGAACTTATTTTAGACCCAGTGACACCATTACTGGGTCTCTATGCTTTTCTATGTAATTCAGGCAGATCATGGCTAGTGGGTGGGACCAGCAAGGGGCTGTTCAGAGCGTCCTGAAAGCATCACAGCAGCCTGCCTCAGTACTCCTCCCCAGAGCCTCCAGCCCTGAGACAGGCAGTGGGCTGGCTCTAGGGAGGAGTTATGCAAATATCAAAATGCTGGGTGTCGGTCTGGAGGAGTGGGCGTTCCTAGGCCGGCTGTATTTGCAGCTACGCAATGCTGAGCCTCCATGGCTAAGAGAACTGAAATCCAATTAAGGAAAGAGGCGGAGCCAAGGCTAGTCAGGCTGGTGAGGAAAGAAACTAGATGACGCTGGATGTCCTCCAGCCAGGAGATGAGGCTGACTGAAGGGGAGGATCTCTATCTGACTGGCTGCAGCTTCAATGCACATTGTGAGATACTCACAGTGTGCAGTGACATCAGAGTAAGCTGTATCAGTCCAGGAGAGGAGCCGATACATCTGTGCAAGACTGGAGGGGAGGAGCCGGTACACCTGTGCAAGACTGAAGGGGAGGAGCCGGTACACCTGTGCAAGACTGGAGGGGAGGAGCCGGTACACCTGTGCAAGACTGGAGGAGAGGATCCAGAACACCTGTGCAAGACTGAAGGGGAGGAGCCATACACGTGTGCAAGACTGGAGGGGAGGAGCCATGCACCTATGCAAGACTGGAGGGGAGGAGCCATGCACCTATGCAAGACTGGAGGGCAGGAGCCAATACGCCTGTGCAAGACTGAAGTGGAGGAGCCGGTACGCCTGTGCAAGACTGGAGGGGAGGAGCCGGTACGCCTGTGCAAAATCGGAGGGGAGGAGCCGGTACGCCTGTGCAAGACGAAGGGGAGGAGCCGTACGCCTGTGCAAAATCGGAGGGGAGGAGCCGGTACGCCTGTGCAAGACTGAAGGGGAGGAGCCGGTACCCCTGTGCAAGACTGAAGGGGAGGAGCCGGTACGCCTGTGCAAGACTGAAGGGGAGGAACCGGTACGCCTGTGCAAAATCGGAGGGGAGGAGCCGGTACGCCTGTGCAAAATCGGAGGGGAGGAGCCGGTACTCCTGTGCAAGACGAAGGGGAGGAGCCGTACGCCTGTGCAAAATCGGAGGTGAGGAGCCGGTACGCCTGTGCAAGCCTGAAGGGGAGGAGCCGGTACGCCTGTGCAAGACTGAAGGGGAGGAGCCGTACGCCTGTGCAAGACTGAAGGGGAGGAGCCGTACGCCTGTGCAAAATCGGAGGTGAGGAGCCGTTTCGCCTGTGCAAGGCTGGAGGGGAGGAGCCGGTACGCCTGTGCAAGCCTGAAGGGGAGGAGACGGTACGCCTGTGCAAGACTGAAGGGGAGGAGCCGTACGCCTGTGCAAGACTGAAGGGGAGGAGCCAGTACACCTGTGTAAGGCTGGAGGGGAGGAGCCAGTACACCTGTGTAAGACTGGAGGGGAGTCTGGAGGTACAATGCAGCATTGGGAATTGGAGTGATGAGTGCAATCAAACTGCATTGTAACAGCAGAAAAGGGAGACACTTTAGCTTTAAAAACTTTTTGCATTCTGTGGCTTTCCAGCTATTGTGGAACTACAAGTCCCAGCATGCCCTACCAGCCAGAACTGAATTGCCGGAGGACACGGGTTGCTTCTACTCCAGCTGGATATGTGATACAGAGATCTCGCAGTGTCTGGATAAAGGCTTCCCACCTATGACCAGGAAGACATTCTCCTTTGCTGGCAGAGTCTGGCCATCGGAGCCCATCTGGCAATGATCTGCATCAGTTTTCCTCCCCGGAGTAGGAGAAGCATTTGTTCTCATAGGCAGTGAGGACTTGGTGCTCATCTGTTTGGTCAGCGGACGATGAACAGGAGCAGAACAAAGGGCTGGACGAGTGATCTTTCAGAGGCTTCATCTCTATAACATCCGAGATAGGAATGGTGGACACTTTGTTGGCACCCCAGGAGTGAAACGAATGGAGTTTGTTGGGTTGTTCGCCTTCAGAGCTCCTGTCAAGTCCAGAATCTGAGCTTCCCGTTCCCAGCCGGGAGCGCCAATCCAATGGGACGATGCAGTGGTACATCCTGGCACAGCCATTGTGTTCTTTTCCACGGGATATCCTCTTCCAAGAGCAGGAGGCGAAGTCGTATTTCCACAAGTTACTGGTGGGGCTGCGTGACGGTAGTCCTCCACCGATGACCCATAGGCAGCCCTGGTGGGCAGCTGATGCATGGCCTACTAGCTTAGGGGGGCCGGAGCTGGACAAATAAAACATAAATCTTAATTAATAAGTTCTAAAAATGGCAGAAAATTTCAGACGTAGACTAGGTGGCCAAACGTTTAACACCTCAACACCACACCCATATAGCTTGTTGGACATCTGATTCTAAACCATGGGCATTAATATGGAATTGGCCCCTTCCCCCCCATGGCCTTTAATATGGAATTGGCCCCTTCCCCCCATGGCCTTTAATATGGAATTAGCCCCTTCCCCCCATGGTCTTTAATATGGAATTAGTTTGTAATCCCATGGTCATTAATATGAAATTGCCTCCCTTTCTGGCTATAACATCTACTCTTCTGGGAAGGCTTTCCACAAGATGTTGGAGGGTGTCTGTGGGAATTTGTGCCCATTTGTGAGCTCAGGTACTAAATGTTGGATGAGAAGACCTGGCTCACACCTTGGGCTCCACATTAGACACCTGGCTCACACGTGGCATTCCGATTCATCCCAAAAGGTGTTCAGTAGGGTTGACCAAAAGCTTGTGGACGCCAGACCATCACCCCTTTGTGAGCTTGTTGGACATCACATTTAATAATAGAAAATAAAATGGAGTAACCCCAACCCCTCTACACCAGCCTCCCTTCTTCTGCGAAGAGTTTCCACAAGATTTTGGAGGGTGTCTGTGGGAATGTGTGCCCATCTGTGAGCTCAGGTACTAATATTGGATGAGAAGACCTGGCTCACACCTTGGGCTCCACAGTGGATGCCTGGCTCGCAAGTGGCATTCCAATTCATCCCAAAAAGGTGTTCAGTAGGGTTGACCAAAAGCTTGTGGACCCCAGACCAGCACCCCTCTGTGAGCTTGTTCGACATCACCTTCAATAACACAGCCATTAAAATCGAGTAACCCCACCCCACCTCCATCAGTCTTCCCTCTTCTGGGAAGACTTTCCACAAGATTCTGGAGAGTGTCTGTGGGAATTTGCGAGGTCTGGTACTGATATTGAATGAGAACCTGGCTCACAACGTGGGGCCCACATTGGGCACCAAAAATAAAGAAAGAAGACCTGGCTCTCAAGTGGCATTCCAATTTATCCCAAAGGTCTTCAGAAGGGTTGACCAAAAGCTTGTGGACACCAGACCATCACCCCTTTGTGAGCTTGTTGGGCATCACATTCAATGACAATAAAATTGAGTAACCCCAACCCATCTACATCAGCCTCCCCTCTTCTGGGAATACTTTCCACAAGATTTTGGAGGGTGGCTGTGGGAATTTGTGCCCATCTGGGAGCTCTGGTACTAAAGTTGGATGAGAAGACCTGGCTCACACCTTCGGCTCCAAATTGGGCGCCTGCTTCGCAAGTGGCATTCCAATTCATCCCAAAAGGTGTTCAGTAGAGTTGACCAAAAGCTTGTGGACACCAGACCATCACCCCTCTGTTACCTTGTTGTACATCACATTAAATTATCATAGCTATTAAGATGGAGTAACCCCACTCCATCTCCATCAGCCTCTCCTCTTCTGGGATGACTTTCCACAAGATTCTGGAGAGTGTCTGTGGGAATTTGTGAGGTCTGGTACTGATATTGCATGAGAACCTGGCTCACAACTTGGGACCCACAATGGGGACCAAAAATAAAGAAAGAAGACCTGGCTCTCAAGTGGCATTCCAATTTATCCCAAAGGTCTTCAGTAGGGTTGACCAAAAGCTTGTGGACACCAGACCATAACCCCTTTGTGAGCTTGATGGACATCACATTCAATAATAGACAATAAAATGGAGTAACCCCAACCCATCTACATGAGCCTCCCCTCTTCTGAGAAGAGTTTCCACAAGCTTTTGGAGGGTGTATGTGGGAATTTGTGGTCATTTGTGAGGTCTGATATTGATGATGGATGAGAAGACCTGGCTCACCACTGGGTCTCCCAATTTATAGCAAAAGTGTTCAGTAGAGTTGAGGTCAGGGCACTGTACAGGACACTCAGGTTCCTCCACCATGTCTTTATGGAGCTGGCTTTGTACACAGGGGCACAGTCATAGTGGAACACAAAAGGATCTTCACTGAACGTTTACCAAAAAGTTAGAAGAACACAATCCTCTACAATATCTTTGTATATTGTAGTATGAAAAGGACCCTTCAGTGGAGACACTTGAACTCAATCATTGGGAAAAGGGTCCATTATTTTGGCCATATAGCATAGGTCTGATGGTCAGATATCATCCAACTTTTGGTCACTTTGATTTCAGTCCTCATAGACTCCAAAGTTTTGGTCCACAGAAAGGCAGGATCAAATCTCTGGGGCAACTGCAACCAGTAGTGTGAAGGATCCTTAAAGATTCACAAGGACATCAATAGATTCTACTTTAGAAATGATGACCTTGTACTTACCTGCACATCTAGCTTAACCCATCTTCTTTTGTCCATATGTATGATGTTCTCCTTTGTACTTCATAAAAAAAAAACCTTTGTAACCATTCATTGTTAGTGAGACCTTCAACCTTCTACGTACCTACCCTCTCCAACATATCATTCAGGAAGAGCAGGGAAAGCTCCTGCTGCACTGTGGGAAATTATCTTCTGGTTCAGGCCTCATAGGCTATGTAATGGCTATGTAAACCCTCCGTATGCAGATAGGACATGACACGTCCGACGTACCTGGTTTTGATGTTGGACCAGTTGTGTCGGCGGAAGTCAAACCTCCAGAAGTCATTTTGCTCAGCCATATTCTTTAATCCCCCAAACAGGTACATTGCAGAGTTATGTGTGGCACTGGAGTGGCCATGGCGAGGTCCCGGACCGAGGCCCCGTGTGCGTGGACTTAGCGCTGACCATTTCTGGGTGTCTGGAGGAGAGGACAGCACACATTGTAAGAAGTCTTGTTACTGTAGGATGGTAAATTCATACCGACATCCACCACAGCTCACTGCAAAACCTTAATAGTCCCAAAACTGGAAAAGAACTCCAATAAAATGAAGGGAACCCCAATATACACTCACCGGCCAATTTATTAGGTCCACCTTGCCAGTGCCAAGAAAATCTCCCCCACACCATGACACCTCCACCAACAGCCTGAACCGCTGATACAAGGCAGGATGGATCCCCCACACCATGACACCACCACCAGCCTGAACTGCTGATACAAGGCAGGATGGATCCCCCACACCATGACACCACCACCACCACCAGCCTGAACCGCTGATACAAAGCAGGATGGATCCCCCACACCATGACACCACCACCACCAGCCTGAACCGCTGATACAAAGCAGGATGGATCCCTCACACCATGACACCACTATTACCAGCCTGAACCGCTGATACAAGGCAGGATGGATCCCCCACACCATGACACCACTATTACCAGCCTGAACCACTGATACAAGGCATGATGGATCCCCCACACCATGACACCACTATTACCACCCTGAACCGCTGATACAAGGTAGGATGGATCCCCCACACCATGACACCGCCACCAACAGCCTGAACCGCTGATACAAGGCAGGATGGATACCATGCACCACCACCAGCCTGAACCGCTGATACAAGGCAGGATGGATTCCCCACACCATGACACCACCACCAGCCTGAACCACTGATACAAGGCAGGATGGATCCACCACACCATTACACCACCAGCCTGAACCATTAATACAAGGTAGGATGGATCCCCCACACCATGACACCACCAGCCTAAACCACTGATACAAGGGAGGATGGATCCCCCACTCCATGGCACCACCACCAGCCTGAACCGTTGATACAAGGCAGGATGGATCCACCACACCATTACACCACCACCAGCCTGAACCACTGACACAAGGCAGGATGGATCCCCCACACCATGACACCACCACCACACCATGACACCAACAGCCCGAACCGCTGATACAAGGCAGGATGGATCCATGCTTTCATGTTTACGCCAAATTCTGACCCTACCATCTGAATTTCGCAGCAACCAGTCTGCCCATTCTTCTCTGACATCAATGAAGCATTTTCCTCCACACAACTGCCACTCGCTGAATATTTTCTCTTTTTCGGACCATTCTCTGTAAACCCTAGAGATGGTTGTGCGGGAAAATCCCAGTAGATCGGCAGTTTTTGAAATACTCAGACCACCCCGCCTGTCACCAACAACCATGCCACGTTGAAAGTCACTTAAATCCCCTTTCTTCCTCATTCTGATCCTCTGTTTGAACTTCACAAGTCGACTTCACTATGTGTAGAGGCCTAAATGCATTGAGTTGCTGCCATGTGATTGGCTGATTAGCAATTTCTGCTACCAAGTGATTGAATAGGTGTACCTAATAAAGTGGCTGGTGAGTGTATAGGACCGCAACAACCAGAATCTGGAGCAGTCACGCACGGCAACCAATCAGCTTCTATCTTTCATTTTCAAAGCGGTATTAAACCCAGATTGAAACATTTTATTATACTGCAGCTTGCCAACTGTTAGATGTGGTGGCTGCATTCATTTTCCTTTTTTGTAGGCTCTCTTCTATTTTCACCTGGTGATCCAGCCAGTAAAGCCGGCCACAGACTTGTCAAAAATCGGCCGATTTTTCGAAAAAAAAAAAAAAAAAATCAGCCGATTTTTGCATCGTTAGAGGGTTAATTGGTCGGCTGTTTTTTCGGGCTTTTTGCACATATTTTTTATCGGGATGTTGGAACATTCGTGGCCGATTTTCCCGGCAATGATGAAAGAGGAAGGAGGAGGAGAAGAAGAAGAATTATTATTCCAGTCCGCTATTATAATTTATATGAAAGTCTTGCGGTTGCAACAAATGTATCCATTTGTATCCAAATAATTTGGATACAGATGTTTTTATTTGGATACAAATGGATACATTTGTTGCAACCGCAAGACTTTCATATAAAAATATAATAGCGGACTGGAATTCTTCTTATGTATTGCTGTCACCTTGTATGGTGCGCTCCCCTGTCACATGGTACGGTGCGCTCCCGTGTCACATGGTACGGTGCGCTCCCCTGTCACATGGTACGGTGCGCTCCCCTGTCACATGGTACGGTGCGCTCCCCTGTCACATGGTACGGTGCGCTCCCGTGTCACATGGTACGGTGCGCTCCCCTGTCACATGGTACGGTGCGCTCCCCTGTCACATGGTACGGTGCGCTCCCCTGTCTCTGCAAGCGACAGAAGTTTTGGGGTTAATGCCGGCCATAGACGGGATGAAAATCGGCCAATTTTTTTACCGTTGGTGGTAATGTCAGCCGATCGAACGGCCGGTTTTTGTTTTTTTTTTTATAAATCGGCCGATTTTCGACCCGTCTATGGCATGCGTAAGTCTGTTGTTTTTTCAAGAGAACAAGCTTTCCTCCAGATGTATCATTTTACAGAGATGAGACAAACCATTTACCACCGACAGGAGTGCTTGCAATGATCAGCTTTTATATATTCACGTAAAACCTTTATCCCAAGAGGAAAAAAAAAACAGCTGTAACTGATGCTAAAGTGTGAGCAGGAGTTTGGCTTCAATTTGTTAGTGTATCTAAATCTGCTAGTCCATCTAATGCTCCCTTCCCCCCAGGACTGAGAATGCTGTTGTCCATAGGTGCCTCCTGTGCTCCTTCATCCAGAGTGGGGGTGCTCTAATACAGGAAAGTGTGTTATTGGCCGGATCACCAGGTGAAAACAAAGGGAAAAAAGCCTAAAAAAAAAGAAAACGAATGCAGCCGCCACACCTAATGATTGGTAAGCTGCAATATATTACATGTTTGGTTTTTCGGGTTTGATACCGCTTCCCGAACAAATGGAAGGTGGAAGCTGATTGGTCAATATACACAGCTGCTACAGATCCTGTCTGCTCCAGATTTAGTATATTCCCTCCCACTGTCCCCCATCCGAGGAAGGACATATTTCCGGCCATGCCTATTTAACCACTTCCCATCCGGCCATTGTATATAAAACGTCCGGACGGTGGCACTGCAGGGTCGGGTGGCCGTTTATAAACTGCCTTCCTGCACCCTGCTTGTGTGCGCTCCCTGGGAGCACGCAGCACCGCGATCCGGTGCCCGCTGTGTCCTCCAGACACAACGGAACACCGATCGTTGGACGGGACCTCTGTGTGAGGTCCCGATCACGTGATCACTGATTGGCCAATCAGTGATCACATGAAGAGTAGTAAGCAAGATGTCACTTCTGACATCATTGCTTACTACGTGTGAAATCTGTGAATGATCACAGAGATCACATGGTACAGGGCTATTCACAACAGCCTTGTACCATGTGACAAGCTGTGACCAATCACAGCTCACTCAGTATTGCTCAATGGCTGCAAGAATGCAGCCAGAGAGAAGGGAGAAATGATTGCTTTTACAGCCTTTATGGGTGTAAAAGCAATCAGTGTAAAAAGAAAAAAAAAAAAAATCTTCATCACCCCCCACAAGTAGTACAGTGTCACCATGGTGACACTGTACTGCTAGGGTGACAGTATGTAAAAAACATAAGATAAAAAAAATTTAAAAAAAAAATAAAAAAAAAAGTTTCAGAATGATAATTTTTGGTTATAAACTAATTTGGGTTATTTTTTGTTTTTACTAAAAAGATAACAATCAATTTTGGCCGAGATTTATGATGAAAGATTATTTATTTGCAAAATTTTATAAGAAAAACACTTTTTTTCAAAATTTGGACTTTTTCATTTATATAGCAAAAAAAAATAACAATCCCAGCGGTGAATAAATACCAGCAAAATAAAGCTTCATCTGTCTCAAAAAAATGCTTAAAAATTCATATGGGTACAGTGTTGCATGACCGCGCAATTGTCATTCAAAGTGTGATAGCGCTGAAAGCTGAAAAAAGGGGGTGAAAGCGTCCGGACTGGACTGGAAGGGGGGGGAAGGGGGGTGAAAGCGTCCGGACTGGAAGGGGGGGAAAGCGTCCGGACTGGAAGGGGGGGAAAGCGTCCGGACTGGAAGGGGGGGGAAAGCGTCCGGACTGGAAGGGGGGGGGGAAGCGTCCGGACTGGAAGGGGGGGGAAGCGTCCGGACTGGAGGGCGGGGGGGGGGGGGGGGGGGGAAGCGTCCGGACTGAAAGGGGGGGGGGGGGGAAGCGTCCGGACTGGAAGTGGTTAAATCAGATGTACATTGTAAAAGACGATTACCAAAATAAAACACCCAGAATTCCTCCACCGCGCCCTCGATATCGAAATATCCCCCGTAGATGAACATGGCGGCCCGGTACACCACAGCACTGTGCCCCTTCCTGTTGCACGGCCGGCTCTCCTGAAACACACACATGCCATTTGGATTACATAGAAAATCGCGTTCTCTCGGACGCCGCCGCAAAGGGGCGGATCAATTTCTGGAATGAACAGAAAAAAAAGAATCACCTGACTGCTCGGAGACGGGAATTCATACCACTTCCTGTCGTCTGAAAAAGAAAATATTGTTCTCTTAGACCTGGGCAGATGGGAAGTCGCGGTGACAACGTATCGTAAAATGTTACAGAAAGGATCCCGCTGGATCATGTGACTGTACATCCTGAGTCGCATCCCCTCACTTTTACTGATCAATATTTTATTGATTACAGGCAATTTGCACAGCACTTTACATATATATTGTACATTCACATCAGGCCCCGCCCCCGAGGAGCCTACAATCTAAGGTCCCTAACTCACATTCATACATACACATACTAGGGCCAATACACCTACCAGCATGTCTTTGGAGTGTGGGAGGAAACCAGACTAAACCCCACACATGCACAGGGAGAACATGCAGTGTGGGAGGAAACCAGAGTAAACCCACGCTTTTACATATATATTGTACATTCACATCAGTTCCCACCCCCGAGGAGACTACAATCTAAGGTCCCTAACTCACCTTCATACATACACATACTAGGGCCAATTTAGACAGGAGCCAATTCACCTCCCAGCATGTCTTCGGAGTGTGAGAGGCACCCGGAGGAAAACCCACGCAGGCACAGGGAGAACATGCAAACTCCAGGCAGGTGGTGCCGTGCTTGGTATTCAAACCGACGACCCGAATACTGCCAGGCAGGAGTGCTAACCACTTAGCCGCTGTGCTGCTCATATGGATTGAACTTCCAAAGGAGTTGAGAGACTTCTCCTTTCCATAAAGATATTAAAGAGGAACTCCACAACCCCCCCCCCCCCTCCTATTTTTCTGTCCTCTTACCTGCATAGCTGGGTTGGTTCCCCCAAAAACATATTCACAAAGCTGGTGATCCAGCAGATTCCTCCTCTTCTCCACAGCGGCCCCGATCCTGCGCCGTCGTCATCTTATGACGTCATAAGGGGCAGCTGCCTCTTCTGGTTTGTGCAGCAGCCCTGAGATAGGGAGGGGGAAGGGGGGAGCTGCAAAAACCATAAATAGACAGCCAGCTTCCCCCAATGATGACATGAGCCCCAGTGTACCCGTGGCCTCCTGGGACCTGTGATATGGGTATCCAATGTTTACATTATTTTGGCCTAAGCACCCCTAAGAAAAGAATTAAAGTTTTGGAGCAAGAGGGGTGTGTAAAGCGGAACGTTATCCTCCCTATGTAACGGTTTCCCGTGTGTTTCATCAGCTGCAATATTGTAAAAAAAGGATATATAAAAAAAAAAAAAAAAATGTCTTTTACTCAGAACTGCAGCTAATCAAGCACAGGCCATGCTTGATTAGCTGCTTCCCCGGCTACAATACTGGTAACATGTTCCCTTAAATCAATGAGCTCTTCCCATTGCTAGTGTTATGATGTACAACAACTACAATGTATACACACTATTCTTTATAAAAACTAAAATATATTATAATACACATATGCATACATACACATTGCAGTATATATACACACATACATCAATTCTTTATAGAACTATATAATATATAAATATATATATATAATTATAAATATATATATAATACACACATGTACTATTCTTTTAATAAAAACAATTACCACAGAACTACAATATATATATATATAAATATAATAAATATAGAGAGAGAGAGAGAGAGAGAGAGAGAAGAGAGAGAGAGAGAGAGAGAGAGAGAGAGAGAGAGAGAGACACACAAAAACAACACATTCTATAATATATATAAATAACACATTCCATACTATTCTTTAAACCAAAAACAACAACCCCCCAAAAAACCCACACCAAAAAACACAACAACAACCAACAAAAAAAAAAACAACATAAAAACAAAAAACAAAAAAACAAACAAAACATAACAACCCCACAACAAAACAAATTACCCCCCCCAAAACCCCAAAACATCCACACAACACATAAAACAATAAACACATGACAGCTAATACTGTGAATATAGTGAAAAAAAAAAAAAAAAGCCACCAATTGCATTTAAAAATCGTCACCGAACATACACTTTCGTATTGCGAAAAAATTTGTAACCCGAGGCGTTATTTTTAATGGATTGTCATTCGTAAACCGAAAATTAACGTTAAACCGAGGCGTTCGTAAACTGAGGTACACCTGTACTATCTGTATAAAAACACCACACATATATATATCCATTGTGGCAGTGCCGGTGTCCTGCCCACGGTCAAAATAAAGCTGAAAACCCTGGATTCTCAACCAGGCAGGTTGAGGGCTCCAGAGAGTTGATGTATTGCAGAGGAAACTGACTTTTCAGTTTTATCCTCATTTATTCCATTAAAGTCTTTTTTGGGACCTGGAGCCTGGAGATTTCAAAGAGATCTGGGAGGGATGAAATCTCCAATCCGGGGTACGTGTTTTGAGAAACCCCCCCCACACACTGATTGCACAGGTGTGTGTGCAGGCCTTTTTTATAGAGTCCTAACCATAGTTCTGGGCTCCACCCCGGCAGACGGGAGTCAGGAGGGCTCCACCCCGGCAGATAGGAGTCAGAGAGGGCTTCACCCCCGCAGACAGGAGTCAGGAGGGCTTCACCCCGGCAGACAGGAGTCAGGAGGGCTTCACCCCGGCAGACAGGAGTCAGGAGGGCTTTCACCCCGGCAGACAGGAGTCAGGAGGGCTATCACCCCGGCAGACAGGAGTCAGGAGGGCTTCACCCCGGCAGACAGGAGTCAGGAGGGCTTCACCCCGGCAGACAGGAGTCACAGGAGGGCTTCACCCCGGCAGACAGGAGTCAGGAGGGCTTCCACCCCGGCAGCAGACAGGAGTCAGAGGGCTCCACCCCGGCAGACAGAGAGTCAGGAGGGCTCCACCCCGGCAGACAGGAGTCAGGAGGGCTCCACCCCGGCAGATAGGAGTCAGGAGGGCTCCCACCCCGGCAGATAGGAGTCAGGAGGGCTCCACCCCGGCAGATAGGGAGTCAGGAGGGCTCCCACCCCGGCAGACAGGAGTCAGGAGGGCTCCACCCCGGCAGACAGGAGTCAGGAGGGCTCCACCCCGGCAGACAGGAGTCAGGAGGGCTCCACCCCGGCAGATAGGAGTCAGGAGGGCTCCACCCCGGCAGACAGGAGTCAAGGAGGGCTTCACACCCCGGCAGACAGGAGTCAGGAGGGCTTCACCCCGGCAGACAGGAGTCAGGAGGGCTTCACCCCGGCAGACAGGAGTCAGGAGGGCTCCACCCCGGCAGACAGGAGTCAGGAGGGCTCCACCCCGGCAGACAGGAGTCAGGAGGGCTCCACCCCGGCAGATAGGAGTCAGGAGGGCTCCACCCTGGCAGACGGGAGGTCTCTGCCTTGGAGTCAGGTGGAAGCCAGACTAGCTGTGTGCTAGTGGCCATAATCTGGGAAGAGTCTGCAGGAGACAGACATTGAACTGTGTACAAGCCAGGAGGCTGAATACTGTTAATTTGCTTGATGTTGGATACCCCTGCGTGGGAAGCATTTTTCTTTATGGAACTTTTTTCTGTTAAATAAAAGTGGGCAAAAAAAGCCCTTAAAGAAGCGAGTTGCTGTGTGCTTTAACAAGAAGAGCTCTACCATTTAAAGCGAGTTCCCACAATATACAGTCATGGCCGAAATTGTTGGCACCCTTGATATTTTTCCTGAAAATCAAGTATTTCACACAAAAAAGGTATTGCATTAACACATGTTTTGCTATACACATGTTTATATCCCTTTGTATGTATTGGAACAAATATAAAACAGAGGCAGAAAAGCAAATATGACATAATGTCACACAAAACCCCAAAAATGGGCTGGACAAAAGTATTGGCACCCTTAACTTAATATTTGGTTGCACACCCTTTGGAAAACATAACTGAAATCAGTCGCTTCCTATAACCATCAATAAGCTTCTGACACCTCTCACCCGGAATTTTGGACCACTCTTCCTTTGCAAACAGCTCCAGGTCTCTCTTATTGGAAGGACACCTTTTCCCAACAGCAATTTTAAGATCTCTCCACAGGTGTTCAATGGGATTTAGATCTGGGCTCATTGCTGGCCACTTCAGAACTCTCCAGCGCTTCTTTGCCATCCATTTCTGAGTGCTTTTTGACGTATGTTTGGGGTCATTGTCCTGCTGGAAGACCCAGGATCTTGGACGCAAACCCAGCTTTCTGACACTGGGCCCTACAGTGCGACCCAAAATCCTTTGGTAATCCTCAGATTTCATGATGCCTTGCACACAGTCAAGGCACCCAGTGCCAGAGGCAGCAAAACAACCCCAAAACATCATTGAACCTCCACCATATTTTACCGTAGGTACTGTGTTTTGTTCTTTGTAGGCCTCATTCCGTTTTCGGTAAACAGTAGAATGATGTGCTTTACCGAAAAGCTCTATCTTGGTCTCATCTGTCCACAAGACGTTTTCCCAGAAGGCTTTTGGCTTACTCAAGTACATTTTGGCAAACTGTAGTCTTGCTTTTTTATGTCTCTGTGTCAGCAGTGGGGTCCTCCTGGGTCTCCTGCCATAGCGTTTCATTTCATTTAAATGTCGACGGATAGTTCGCGCTGACACTGATGCTCCCTGAGCCTGCAGGACAGCTTGAATGTCTTTGGAACATGTTTGGGGCTGCTTATCCACCATCCGGACTATTCTGCGTTGCAATCTTTCATCAATTTTCCTCATCCGTCCACGACCAGGGAGATTAGCTACAGTGCCATGGGTTGCAAACTTCTTGATAATGTTGCGCACTGTGGACAAAGGCAAATCTAGTTCTCTGGAGATGGACTTGTAACCTTGAGATTGTTGATATTTTGCCACAATTTTGGTTCTCAGGTCCTCAGACAGTTCTCGTCTCCTCTTTCTGTTGTCCATGCTTAGTGTGGCACAGACAGACACACAATGCAAAGGTTAAGTGAACGTCTCTCCTTTTTATCTGCTTTCAGGTGTGATTTCTATATTGCCCACACCTGTTACTTGCCCCAGGTGAGTTTACAGGAGCATCACATGCTTGTAACATTCTTATTTATCCGCAGTTGTGAAAGGGTGCCAATACTTTTGTCCAGCCCATTTTTGGAGGTTTGTGTGACATTATGTCGAATTTGCTTTCTTTCCTCCCTTTTTTTGTTTTGTCCCAATACACACAAAGGGAATAAACATGTGTATAGCAAAACATGTGTTAATGCAATACGTTTCGTGAGAA